CTTTCCTCCTTTCCTTTCATTTTGTTGTTTTTGTTAGACACTTGTGATTCATACCAATTACTTTGCCTCCATTTCAGACCCTACTGCCTTTTAGGTACAAGCAGGCTATTGTTAGTGCCTCTTTAGCTGTGGCCTTGCCAGACTGGATATTCCTTCAGCTTCCTTTCTCACTTAAAATACAGTAGTCCCTCGTAGATTTATTGCCATGGGTATTTGCATTGTAACACACAGAGTGATGTGTTTATAGTAGCGCTCAAAGGACATACTGTATTTCATGTCCCCTGGTGATTTGTCTCTTACCATCTTCCCTCCTATATGTTGAGCTCACTATAAATAGCTTTTCCGTGCTACATTTCAACCACTTCTTGCTTGGGAGCTTTCAATTAGCCTCAGAGTAACTGTCCCTCACCTTGCACTTTTTATTCCTGTTTACCAGAACTTTAATTTCAGAAGAGAGAGTTGTGGGAGAAATGGGGGGAAAAAAAGCAGACAAGAGGATGAATTTCTGTCAGAAAGTGACCTTGGAGCAATATAGCACAAAATCTGTACTCCCACTAAGACAACCAGCATGTGGGCCATAAACTTATGATTTCTTATATTAAAAATATGCATTTTGCTGTAAGAAATTATAATTCAAGTAAACATATTGCAGGAAGTTTTGACTTCCAGGGTTTGGGCCTACGTAACAGGAGTCAGGTAGCATGGGGCTTCATGGTGACACGGAATAACTCATGTGGCCTTCCCAAGGTTATAAGACTTCTGCAAAAAGATAAACCTCACATCCACCTTCAAGAGCAGCAAAAAGGAGGATCCAGGTAAATACAGGGTAGTCGGCCTCTATCCCTGGGAACCTTACAGACCAAATCCTCCATGGAAGCTGCATCCAGACGTGTGAAGAACAGGGTGACTGGGAAGAGCCAGCGCAGACTTACCAAGGTCCAATCGTGCCTCAACATGCACAGAAACAAACATGCCCGCACGCGGCTGCAGAAACAGCCAGCAGAGACCAGGGTGCCAGGAGTGTGGCCACCCCACAGCACCAGCTGCCTGCGGGGCTGCACGCACAGGGTGCCGGCAGCAGCTCGGGTGAGGCTGTCATCACCCTCTGCCCGCTCTGGACCCGGGCTGCTGCCTTTTGGGCTCCCCAGTCAGGGTGCACCCACCAGTGACAGCCTGGAGGGAGCCTTCCAGGGGCAGGTCCCCGAGTCGAGGAGGGGCTGAAGCACAGGATACTCGAGGGGAGGCTGGAGGGAGCTCGGGGCTTCAGGGAGACCTTACTGCTGTCTGCAGCTACCTCCCAGGTAGCTGCTGGGAGGGTGTAGGGAGGATGGAGCCAGACGTGTCTCGGAGCCACACAGGGGACAGACAAGAGGCAACGAGCACCAGGTGGAACACAAGACAACCCAATTTAATATAAGGAAAAACGTTCCCACTGTGAGGGTGACCAAACTGCAAACCAGATTGGACAAGGCCCTGAGTAACCTGCTCTGTCTGGACCTGTTCTGCGCAAGAGGTTGGGCTGGATGACCTCTGCAAATCCCTTCCAACCTTATTCTCCAATTCCTTCAGACTCTAACTATTTCTAAATATTTAATTTTGCTTTTCCTTCTGGGCTTTTCCTTCTGTGCTACTCTGACAGCTGTTGCGAATGGGATTTGGAATTTTGGTCCTTTATGGGAGAAAACGTAGCTACAAAATTCAGATCCTGGTTTAACATTCTAGTACCCCTATCAAGAATGCTCTCATTTTGGGCTAGGAACCTGGCTTTTCTATAAATGAGACTAGGAGGAGAACACAATCTTAGCAGAAGGAGGATTTTTTTAAACAGATTTCTTATGAATGTTTTAAATTCTTTGAATAACTATAGTAAGATTTTCAATATTTGACACAATATTGAAATTGCAACACTTAGAATAAATTTCAAGGGATGGGTGTTTTTAGAATAAGTTAGGTCCTGTGTTTCCAGCTAAGCATCTCTGAAATTGCAAAATATATCATCTCTCATTTTTCAAAGTGTAGTGAAATGTCAGAAAAGGACAGAGAGGAAGCATGAGATTCATATTTGTCATAGTCCTAGACCTGTTTTCATAGTTTATAAGCATAAAATGTGAGTGAAAGATGCTTCAAAATATTTGCCCCTTCGGATCTTTGAAAGAGAACTATGAACGTTATTTATGGGGTCAGAAAGAGAAATCAAAGCTAGCATTCACATTTTTCCTTGACAAAGAGAACAAAGAGAAATGATAAATTAACTCAGATTGCAACAGGAAAAGAAACTGTCATCCTGAATTAAAAAAATGGTCCATTTTGTCCAATATCCTGACTCATACTCAATATTTCTAATGCTGGCCACCCCAGATACATCACAAGAAGATGCAAGAAACTCTTATAACAGAAGTAGATATGTACCTCGGGCATTTTTTTTTTTTTTTAAGTTTTATGATTTTGTTTAAAGTATACTTAAAATTCTTATCAAGAAATGTGTCAAATCTCTTCCTGAATCACCTTAAATTTCAATCTTTGTGACCTTGAATTCTGACAGTCCATCTCGTTTCATGCTAAAAACATATGTTTTTTATTTGTTTTGAATTTATTCTATTTGATGGTACTGGATATGCTCTTAAATCTTTCTTTAGGAGACAGGTTATAGAAATTCCCAGTCTATATTCTGCATAGACCATACTCACATTTCAGTCTCCTCTTACAGAAATCTTTCTAGTCCTAATCACCGTCACCACTTGTCTTAGTTTCCCTTATATTACTGTTGCATCAGTCTTGATATATATAGTGTTCAGCACTACTCAGTCTTAGATGTGGGAGTACTACTGATTTGTGTAATAGCCCTATGCATTCTTGTACTGATCTCTTTGTGTTCTCTAAGCATCATATGGTCTGACTGCTGCTGCACTGTAGCTTGCATTGGGCTTTCCATAATTGACTCAAAATGATTTTCGAGATTCCCAAGATACTGAATCACTTGGAAAAAGAAAAACCTGAACTGAAATCTTTGTCGACTTGCCATTTAACCCTTCATGTTCCTTTATTCTACATGTGTAGTCTAATATTTTCTTTTAACTAGAACCTATGTAACACATCTTTACTTTATAAAGCTTAGAAATAATTCACCATCTATATTTGATATATATGTCACGAGGCATAAATGAAGTACCTATTTATGAGAAAACAGTTTCCCATTACCACTGGTAATCATAAAGGCTAGAAAAAAAACAGTATGAAGTCAATTTTTATGCAGAAAGCTTATGGAAGTATTCACATGAATAATTTAGATCATAAAATTAAAAATTTGATCCAACTACTAGAAGCTGTCTTGCTTGACTTATGATTGCAATTATAGGCAAAAAGTACAATTATGTTCAAAATTAAGCTGTACTTCCAAATTCACCCAGACTGTCCTTCTGCATTTGAGAAGAGATTCCTGGCACTTTCAAGTTCATATAGTTAATATGGAGTCCTGGGAAATGGAGCAATAAGGTCACTATGAGTCCTAAAATTTGAGAATGAAGAATTTGAAAATTTTTACCTATTGGCTACTCTAGAAGTAGGAGTAGAGCCAAGTATTTTAAGAGTCTAACTGGCCTATATTGGTGGTCTTCTCTCCATTTTTTGCACTTCTAGAAAACAACAGTATAATTCTATACTTCTTTGATGTCATAAAAAATAAGGAAAGACAGGCTATGTAAAGGCTAGCTTAACAATTAGGAATAGACATTTTAGGTTCTGCTTCAGTCATTCTGACATTTACACAAGTCATTTAGAGGAGGTCCAAATTTTTGGAAGATAATCCTGGAACAGAAAGTACCCTGGCAAGACAGTTGAGCTCGCTCTCATGAAACTGAACATTTTGAAGCAGTATAGATTAATGTGCTTAACACAAATACTATGCCAACAAACACAGCACTTCTATGTAAATGTAGAGCTCATTAGTAAAATAACCTGTTCTGAAGCCAAAGCATTGGTATCTGTCACTCCACAACCTGCTGGAGAATCACTTTTATGACTCAGATCTCACAGGTCCATTTCCTCAAGCCAGACTGATCAGTGAATTTCCTTTAAGACATTCTTATTGCTCATATATATGTCCTATATTTAATAGTTTAGCACCCTGCAACACACTGAAAGGATAGATGAAGTACATTATTAATGTCTACTGGAAAACCAAGAAAGAACCAATATAACCAGAAAAAACACACTGAATGGCCTTCACTACCCCCTCCCCCAAAACACATGTAACCCACCACTCAGAAAAGCTACCGGAAGTCTTGTAACGTAACCTTCTCTGTAAGCCCTTCGGTTTTGCTTTTCTCAGAGAAACGGGGGTGAACAAAGGCTCACCTGTAGGCAAGAAGCTCAGAAACTGAAGGGGAAAACGTCACTCAAACTACCTAACTCTAACTGTTTACAAGAAGTAAATCTCTAATATACTGAAGTTGGGTCTTTATATGATCTACCCACAGCAACTTGCAAAATGCTGAAGAACTGGCACAACTGTACCTGAACCTCTAAGTGAGAAGAGTACTTCACAGTGCCCTCAGTCAACTGCTTGAAGAGAAGCCTTTTAGCTTTACTAGCTAAAGGAAGGACATAAAAGAGCTTTTTTGCAGAATGAAAAGGGTAGAACGTGCAAGTGTTAGAGGACAACACACCTAAGATCTGCTTCACTACAAAAGAATTTATTTTTTGCTAGATTTCTTGCAAATCAGTGACAGAGGTGCATCTAAGCAACAGCATTCAATCCTGGATGTTGCTGTTAGCATCTGGAATTTTCATTCAGGTTTGCTGCAGGTGGTGAATACATTATACAGATTCATATAAGGCACATAATTAAATGGCAATAGAAAATACACTAATATCCACTAGAAAAAAGGGAAAAAACAAAACATAGGCATATCAGGTTTTTGTCCCCTTCCTTACCGTTCCTTAATTTTAGTTCTTTACAAAGCACTATGCCATAAACTGAGAAACGTACAGTGCAACACTCAATACTCGTGCCAATTTGTCAGCAAATAAATGAGCTGCATTCTTTGTTTTGGGGGGGGGGAGAGGGAACAGTTAAACGAGCAATTTTCTAGTCACCGTTTCAGATGAAATATGACTGATACAAACACTTCAACCATGGATCTGAAATACTCCTCTCCACGCATACTGATGATAACGTTAACCGTGCCTTCAGAGAGCGTGTTTCGGAGTGGTTAGCTAGCAAACGGGGAAATAATTAAAACCATTATCCAAAGTCTCAGCAGCTCATGAAATGGATATATTGCTATTAGTAACACAGGTTAAGCCGTGACAGAGATGAAAATGTGGAATCACATCTTCAACACTGCAGACATTTCTGCAGCGAGTGCCCCGAGAAGATTAATGTCCCCCCAACCCTCCCACAAAAAAACCTCTAGGACTTTTGTATGGGTTACTAAATGAACTCAAACAGAGAGTCCCTCTGAATCCACCTCTTCCTACAGCAGTCCAATACCAGAGTAAGTCCATTTAAAATTACATGCATTCCCTCCTCTACAAATGCATATACACTGTAGTTACTATGTAGGTATGAGCCAGAAAAAATGATACAGGCTAGAAAAAGTGTAAAGAAATAACAGGTAACAAGCAGAGTCAGGAAATACTCTTTCCACCTTTAGATTCAGAGCGCATAAGAGCTTAAGTTCCCTGTATAATCTCTGAAATGGGAGAAACTGGAGCACAATATATGAGATGCCTCCAATAGATGGCACATTGATTTATGAAAATGATTCACAAGAGGAAGAAGCAAAGACAGCCTAGAGGAAACCAACAACAGAAGGATTTTAGAAGCTGTATACCTTTGTTTGCCTAATATTAATGACCTTTTTTAATATAATGATGCACTTGCAAAGGTCCACAAAGTAATCAGAACAGGAGATAACTCAGTGTAGGAACTGAGCTCAGGATGTGTACTCATTTTTTCCACACGTACCACAGCCTTAATCTATTTTCCAAATATTCTTTTAATTTCAGCTCTTTTATCAAGAATTGCTATTCAAACTTTGAAAATAACAAAACAAAATAGCTGAGCTCCACTGAATGTAAGGCAAATTTGTCAGCAATTACACAAACTGGAGAAAAATTTAAAAAATTAGATCCCAATTTTCCCTTTCCTTACATCTTCACAGCCATTTATGATTGCATAAAGTAGACATGTTACAATTACATCGTATGAAGCATTAATTTAGGTATCTGTAATACCCATATAAGATATAAAGAAGAAAAGCAACCCGCTAAAATCCACATATAACGAATATTGTAATATAGTGCACATTTTCTGATGGTCTTTACCTTCTATTTAATGCAAGAATACCCTGTCTCATAACACTGCAAAATCCATTAAGGTTTCTCATAACTGATACCAAAATAACAGACAAACCTCTGAAAGTATGAAAGCCACATCATGCAACAGCACCTCATATGTGGTAACAGATAAGAGTTTTATAACAGATGGGTATCACAGCCACTCCCCTGTTTAAGGGTAAATTTGGGGAAGCATACTGTTTAGCAAGTAAATATGTTAGGTAGTCAGTGAACTGAGGCCTCTGTTTTTAATTTGCAAACCTGATTTACAATCTCAGCTTCCCAAACCTATTTGTCTGCTCATCTACTCCTTGCATTCAGGCTTAAAACTAGATTGCAAGCTGTTAAAGGTTGTAAGAATCTGCTTTTTATTACTACTATTAGTCTATTGGGTCTCTGCCACAACAGAGGCTTGGCTTTAAATTGGGTTTCTGAAGTACCACTGCTAGTATTAAACAATAATAGTCACCACAACAGCTAGGAAAAGAATCCACCCTAGTTGTTCCTGAAGTTTTGAAGTTATTTTGCTTTTGATTAGAAGCGTTAGCTGATGTCAAAACAGTACTGGCCATTTTTCCTAATACCAAAATTGGTAGGGATGTACAAACAAAAACACTCCACTAAGTACAAACTCATTCTGGAACATACCACTTTTGGTGAAGGAAGCACACAAATATTGCACTAGCATAAATAAACGGGGAACAATGGTGCTGCCTTCCTATCCATCACCCTGCAGACCTCGAAGAGAACCCAGAAGCGTTGTTGCTCTGACAGTCACGCCTGATTCAGTGAACGGCGGTCTAAACTAACACGAGTGGCAAGGCAGTCCAGTCCTGGTAGAGAAGACAACATTGTTGAATGCACTGCCTTCATCATTTACAAGTACGGGGTTTCATTTGGTCTGACAGCTGTGACTTTCAATGCTTAACAGAACCTCTATTGTTACATTTCCACATTTTTGTCCCCTTTGTCTTGATTTATATCTTTTCTTTGCATTTTTAGTTGGGGCTGTTTACCAGCCCAAACTACACTGAAGTAGTAGTCAGAATTAAGCACCAAGGACCTTTTGCTCTTATATGGCCAGAGCGCTTCTACCACAAATGAGAAGCATACATTCTTTGCAAACAAATAACTGCCAGGTGGACACAATCCTGTCCTGCCCCAAAAACAATTACTGTTATTGTGGGAGCCCCGATTCTCTTATTCTGCATTACCATATGATGAATTTTGTAACATTAACAAATATGCTAATGTCAAACTCTAGGAGGTGTTTTTCCAAACAGATTTGCTTTTATTGTAGTACTATCTTCCCTGAAGTGATGCACCCGCACTGAACAGCTACACGAAGCAGAGGATGAGAGGAGGAGGAGAGAAAGAAAGGAGGAAGAGGGAGAGATGAAAAATAGACACAGAAGAGTGGCTGCAAAATGGAAGCCTATTTGCAACACACAAATTCATTTGCTGTATTTTTTTGAAAGTAAAAAAGCAGAGAAGTACAGTCCATCAATTGCCAAAGAACATCCCTATTGACTTGATAAATAGATGAGATTTGGCAGAGAGAAAGAATATGTTCATAAATACACACATGCAGACATTCAGCACATACACCTCTTGGGCTAGAAGAAACCCTCTGTTACGATAAGCAGCACGCCTTTTGAGATCAGTTATTTTTCTTTGCAGTATAAGTGTAAATGAATACTCAGAAAGCTATCACAACCCAGCCTCCACCTGTAACCTCAGGTTATAACGTTTCAAGATTGAACCCAATGCAGACAACAGGGCTACAACCCACAGTATTTTTGCTGGTAGGTGAAGATTAAGGTGAAGATTAATGAAAGAACAAAAGAGAAATACAATCTGAATGTTCTGTCTAGCACAACATAAAACATTACATGCAAGATTTAATGCTAAATATAGCAAGCCTTGAAGGAATTATATATTCAAACCTGGTTCACTCAAGTACTTCCCACTGGTAACTTGCTTCTCGGAAACGGGACTTTTAAACAGATGATCTCCAGCTTTGTACTGCAGATGAATTTTGGTACACAGCCACTTGGTTTGCCATCCCACCCACTCAATGGCTTTTCCCAGCAGAACTCTCAAGCCACTGTTTAAAGCATTTTGGAACAAGCCTCCTGGAACTGGTTGGAGAAACTCGGACAACAAACGGAGCAAACCTCCAACAAACTTCAGCCGGGCCAAGATTTCACCTAGATAGTCAAGCACAGGCTTGAGAACTTCACTTCTTCACTTGTACAACTTAGGCAAGAATTGACATAATATGAACAGAGTACTCAGTTTAATGTATTGAAACGTCCATAATTAATCTATCCAAGAATATTTTTAGACAGTATCTCTACTGAAGTTTTTCTATTAGCAATAAAACCATATCAGAATCTGTGCAGGGAAACAATTCAAAACTGAAAGATGAGCAAGTTTCCAGCAGATGTGTTTTACGCAGACCCACAGCCATAGCAAACAACTGACAGGGGTACTTGGTACTAATCTTTTCCTCAGACATTCTGAAATATCATAAATAGTGGTACTAAAAAGCTGCAAGGATCTTGATTAACAGAATCAACCTTTTTTTTTTTTTTAAGGCCTTCAATAAATTTAGTAACTTTGATAAACTGCAAAAGAGAGACAAATAGAAACAGAAAAAAATGAATACAGGTAAAAGTTTCCTCCTCTACAGCAGTCCAATACAAGGTCTATATAAAGTTCCACTTGCATATTCCAAACGAAGAGTTAAATGGCAACTATACAATATATAAATCTTATCAAGTCATTACCTTGTGACCTATATAAAGTTATTGCTGAAACTGTTAGCAAAAGAACATGCATCCCTAAGTCCCAGCTGCTTGGTGTACTGCCTTTCAGACTAAATCTACCCTGGATATCGTCCCTGTAACTCCTAAACTAGATTTTTGTTAGCTTCAAAAAATAAAAACCTTGTACTTCTGATCTTCAGAGTGTTACTACTATCTAGAAAACAGATGTGTAACTACTGGAAATGACTACTGTCCTGAAAAAGAGAAGTTAGCAATTATTCCTGTGATTCTAGGGGTAAAAACATGAAACAGATACCAAAAGATCCAAATAATACTCCAGCTCAGAATCTTACCAGAAACCTCAGCAGTGCAAAGACAGGATAATTTTCCCAGTAACAGTTCTGATTCTGTGATTAAATCATAAGTGCTAGACTGAAGTGCTAGAATAACTTGGAAAAACTGATATTACAGAAAAAGTA